ATTTTCTGTTAAATAAGGTTAGTTAGACCACGAGTTAGACCATGAGTTAGACCACAAGTTAGACCACGAGTTAGACCATGCGTTAGACTATGAGTTAGACCATGAGTTAGACCATGAGTTAGACTATGAGTTAGACCACGAGTTAGACCACGAGTTAGACCATGAGTTAGACCATGAGTTAGACTATGAGTTAGACCATGAGTTAGACCACGAGTTAGACTATGAGTTAGACCACGAGTTAGACCACGAGTTAGACCGCGAGTTAGACCGCGAGTTAGACCGCAAGTTAGACCGCGAGTTAGACCATGAGTTAGAACACGAGTTAGAGTTAGACCATGAGTTAGACCATGAGATAGACCATGAGTTAGACCATGAGTTAGACCACGAGTTAGACCGCGAGTTAGACCATGAGTTAGACCATGAGTTAGAGTTAGACCATGAGTTAGAGTTAGACCATGAGTTAGACCACGAGTTAGACCATGAGTTAGACCACGAGTTAGACCGCGAGTTAGACCGCGAGTTAGACCGCGAGTTAGACCATGAGTTAGACCATGAGTTAGAACACGAGTTAGACCATGAGTTAGACCACGAGTTAGACCACGAGTTAGACTATGAGTTAGACCACGAGTTAGACCACGAGTTAGACCGCGAGTTAGACCGCGAGTTAGACCGCGAGTTAGACCGCGAGTTAGACCATGAGTTAGAACACGAGTTAGAGTTAGACCATGAGTTAGACCATGAGATAGACCATGAGTTAGACCATGAGTTAGACCACGAGTTAGACCGCGAGTTAGACCATGAGTTAGACCATGAGTTAGACCATGAGTTAGAGTTAGACCATGAGTTAGAGTTAGACCATGAGTTAGACCACGAGTTAGACCATGAGTTAGACCACGAGTTAGACCGCGAGTTAGACCACGAGTTAGACCGCGAGTTAGACCGCGAGTTAGACCGTGAGTTAGACCATGAGTTAGACCATGAGTTATAACACGAGTTAGAGTTAGACCATGAGTTAGACCATGAGATAGACCATGAGTTAGACCGCGAGTTAGACCGCGAGTTAGACCGCGAGTTAGACCATGAGTTAGACCATGAGTTAGAGTTAGACCATGAGTTAGAGTTAGACCATGAGTTAGACCGCGAGTTAGACCATGAGTTAGACCATGAGTTAGACCATGAGTTTAGACCATGAGTTAGAGTTAGACCATGAGTTAGACCGCGAGTTAGACCATGAGTTAGACCATGAGTTAGACCACGAGTTAGACCATTAGTTAGACCACGAGTTAGACCATTAGTTAGACCGCGAGTTAGACCATGAGTTAGACCATGAGTTAGACCATGAGTTAGAGTTAGACCATGAGTTAGAGTTAGACCATGAGTTAGACCATGAGTTAGAGTTAGACCATGAGTTAGACCATGAGTTAGAGTTAGACCATGAGTTAGACCCGAGTCTTCCTGACAGTTCATATTATGCCGCTGCCCGGTGTAATTCAAATGTACCGCCGCGCGCAGCACCGACACACAGCTGCTGCCCAGCCGCAGCACGGACACACAGCTGCTGCCCAGCCGCAGCACGGACACACAGCTGCTGCCCAGCCGCAGCACGGACACACAGCTGCTGCCCAGCCGCAGCACGGACACACAGCTGCTGCCCAGCCGCAGCACGGACACACAGCTGCTGCCCAGCCGCAGCACAGACACACAGCTGCTGCCCAGCCGCAGCACGGACACACAGCTGCTGCCCAGCCGCAGCACGGACACACAGCTGCTGCCCAGCCGCAGCACGGACACACAGCTGCTGCCCAGCCGCAGCACAGACACACAGCTGCTGCCCAGCCGCAGCACAGACACACAGCTGCTGCCCAGCTGCAGCACCGGAAATGGAACTGCTGGGAGAAAAACTGACTATCAGAGATGTAACGTTATCTTTGATAATATTTCGTCTCCTCATTTTTCGTCAACGAAAGTAAAGAGAGATTTTGGCATAGTTTTTATTTAGTAAACTACATTTTCGTCTCGTCACTTTTCATCAACGATATTGCATGATGATTTCGTTACAGTTATTGTTTACTGCCGTCTCGTCATCGTCTCGTTTTCGTCATGGAAAAAAAGGTCGATGACGAACATATTTCGTCATAGTTTTAGTCGACGAAATGAACACTAGCTGCAGGCTGTTAAACAACGTGTTTCAAAGACACTTGGTGTGTGTTTCTCTTCGTGCCGTTTTGGGACCATTTATTTTAGCGTAGCCCTTTTTGTTGTTCTGCGTTGTTCTCCGGTGTTGTGTTCCTTGGTGGACGTTAAACTCTTTACGTGTTTTCTGGATGATTCCTTGTTCTGTGATTCTTCGTAGAACACGTTTGTCCTTCTAGGTTTGCACCATTCAAACACTCAACATATATTTGGTGTTTTTTCGTCTCGTTTTTGGACTTCTTGCTGTTTTGCGTGTCTTTGTGGACTCGTGGTATCTCGTGTCTTTTTGAGGACCATTTGCTCGTTTTATTCTACGTGTTTTTTATCGGCTGTTTTGCCTTCGTTGTCTTTCGTTGCTTTATTCTTTCGAGTTTCTTTGTGGACAATTTGCACCTTTTTGTTGTGCTTTTTAGTTTTTGTGACCATGACTTAGTTGTTTTCGGAGGTTTGTTGTCTTGCGTTGTTTTGCGTTGTTTTGCGTTGTCTTGCGTTGTTTTGCGTTGTTTTGCGTTGTCTTGCGTTGTTTTGCGTTGTCTTGCATTGTTTTGCGTTGTCTTGCGTTGTTTTGCGTTGTCTTGCGTTGTTTTGCGTTGTTTTGCGTTGTTTTGCGTTGTTTTGCGTTGTCTTGCGTTGTTTTGCGTTGTTTTGCATTGTTTTGCATTGTTTTGCGTTGTTTTGCGTTGTCTTGCGTTGTTTTGCGTTGTTTTGCATTGTTTTGCGTTGTCTTGCGTTATCTTGCGTTGTCTTGCGTTGTTTTGCGTTGTTTTGCGTTGTTTTGCGTTGTTTTGCGTTGTCTTGCGTTGTTTTGCGTTGTCTTGCGTTATCTTGCGTTGTTTTGCGTTGTTTTGCATTGTTTTGCGTTGTCTTGCGTTGTTTTGCGTTGTCTTGCGTTATCTTGCGTTGTTTTGCGTTGTTTTGCATTGTTTTGCGTTGTTTTGCATTGTTTTGCGTTGTCTTGCGTTGTTTTGCGTTGTCTTGCGTTATCTTGCGTTGTCTTGCGTTGTTTTGCGTTGTTTTGCATTGTTTTGCGTTGTTTTGCATTGTTTTGCGTTGTCTTGCGTTATCTTGCGTTGTTTTGCGTTGTTTTGCGTTATCTTGCGTTGTCTTGCGTTGTTTTGCGTTGTTTTGCGTTGTTTTGCGTTGTCTTGCGTTGTTTTGCGTTGTTTTGCGTTGTCTTGCGTTGTCTTGCGTTGTTTTGCGTTGTTTTGCGTTGTCTTGCGTTGTTTTGCGTTGTTTTACGTTGTTTTGCGTTGTCTTGCGTTGTTTTGTTCCTTCGTGGACGTTAAACTTTTCTTTTTTTTTTACATTTTTATTGCGGTTTTTTGTAGTTTAGCGAATCTGTAGTTCGGGTGTTCTGTCTTTCGGTTTTACGTGTTTTTGTAGTTTTTGATGATTTCTTGTTCGAGGATTCTTTGTAAACAATCTCTTTCTAGTTTTGCACCTTTTTTCTTATTTTTTTCACCATATCTTTGTAGTTTTTGGACTTCTTTTATGTCTTTGTGGACATTTTGCACCTTTTGGTAGTTCTACTTTTTTGGGTGTGACCAGTTGCTCGTTTTATTCTACGTGTTTTTATCGGCTGTTTTGCTTTCGTTGTTGTATTTTTTCGAGTTTCTTTGAGGACAATTTGCACCATTTTGTAATTTTGCGCCTGTTTTTCCAAATGTTTTCAAACCATGACTTCGTTGTTCTCCGTCTCGTCTTCGGTCTTCATGCGGTTGCGTTGCGTTGTTCATGTTTAGCGTCTCTTTGTGTCGGGCTCTCTTTCAGGTTAGCCTTTTGTTGCTTTGCGTTGTTTTCTTGTATTGTTGTTCTTTGCGGACGTTAGGTTCATTTTTGTTGTCCATCTCGTTTTGGAGCTTTTTGTAGTTTCGCTTATTTTTTGGTTTGGGTGTTGCTGTTTTGTCTCTATCGGTTTTACGCGTTTTTGTTTTACGTGATTTTTGTAGTTTTTAATGATTTCGTGTTCGATGATTCCTCGTAGACAATTTTCACCATATATTTGTTGTTGTTTTCGTCTAGTTTTTGGACTTCTTGCTGTTTTGCTCATTGCGTGTCTTTGTGGACATTTTGTAATTTTGGGCCTTTTCACTGTTTTTTATTGTACCTTCTTATTCTTAATCTTTTTACACGTTTTTCAAACCATGACTTAGTTGTTTCACGGTTGTGTTGTTCATGTCCGTCGTCTCCTGTCCGTCGTCTCCTCTCTGCGGGTTTCATTATTATTTCCAGATGGAGAATCGTCTGAAAGGATTCACCGGGCTGAATGTGTTTGTGTCAGGTCTGAATCAGAAACGCTGCAGGTCTGCTGAACCACAGAAGAAGAAAAGAGAGACATGAGGGGGAGGAGGGCATGCCTCGCCTCGGGCACGCACACACACACACACACACACACACACACACTGATGTCTTACTTTTCTGTTTGAAAGCCTTTTTAATATTTATTTATATATCAGTGTTCTTTTCATTTTCCATTTTCAGGTCAGGGTTAAACTTTGCACTGTGTGAGTGTATGTGTAAGTGTGTGTGTACGTGTGTGTACGTGTGTGTGTACGTGTGTGTGTGTGTGTGTGTGTGTTTGTGAGCAATCGGACAAATGGATGTTTTTTTTATTCACAGACTCGGAATAGAAAGAGAGAACATAAATCGGGCTTTTAAAAACGGACAGAGTGTTTTTCTCTGTGTGTGTCCGTGTGTGTGTGTGTGTGTGTGCGCACGTGTGTGTGTGTGAGATGAAGGTAAATGGACAGATGAGAGGATGAAAAGACGTTGTTTGTGTTTTAAAGATGTTTTTTCTTCCTCTGCAGCGGTTATACAAGAAATAAACGGACAAAAGACAGGAAGTAAGAAACATAAATAAATATATAGACAGAAAACCATAGACGTATCAAAAGACATTATTGAATCCGTCTCAAGACTGTGTAAAAAAAGACGAGATGAATTGTTCTTCGTCTGAAACTAACAATTATATTTATTATCAATAAATCTGATTATATTTTGGATTAATTTCCTGCAGTACAAGTCTTTAAATGTCTTGTTTTCATTAGGAGATACTGTGTGTGTGTGTGTGTGTGTGTGTGTGTGTGTGTGTGTGTGTGTGTGTGTGTGTGTGTGTGTGTGTGTGTGTGTGTGTGTGTGTGTGTGTGTGTGTGTGTGTGTGTGTGTGTGTGTGTGTGTGTGTGTGTGTGAGAGAGAGATGTTATATGGCTTTTATATTTAATAAGCAGCACTAATTTTGAAATGTACGACTGTAATTAAAGTAAAACGCTCACAGTCCGCAGTTTAGTTTCAGCTCATTAAAGGAACTCCAGCAGTCATACCACCTTAACATCTTAATGTGTAATTTAATTAAACCTCCCTCGAACACCTTCATCTTTTTTAATGAGCGACGCCACCTTCAAATCCTCACTTACACACCTAACTCCGAAATGACTGACAATATCATATTAACCGTCAACAACAAACCACCTTAATTGAGACATACGGTCTTTATAACTCCAGTTATTCCACCTTAAGTGCCACGAAATATATACAACGTGCTAATACCACCTTAAAATAATGAATAGCTTTGTGTGTGTATATAGACATTTGTATTGATTGGGATAAACCCCTTGAGATGCACCATCTCGTTTTCAAGGGGGTCCCGACAATTGTGTGATTTAGAGAAATAAATAAACCCTCTTAAATCATGAACGTTCCACCTTAACTAAGTAATGGTTGTTATATCTCCTCATACCACCTTAACAGAGACCAATTCCACCTTAAACAGATTAAACCGGTACAACAAATGCCAATTATACCGACTTAAGAAATACAAAAACATATCATAGTCTTCTTATTCCACCTTAACTGCGAGGAAATACCACCAACAGCCCTATTATATTAGATTTACGGACAAAAAGTAACCCTCTAAAATTGTAATCTTTCCACGCTTATATTAAATATGCTCACATCACCTACCACCTTAACCGAGAAATACAGTATGTATTATAATGCAATCATACTACCTTAAGAGACACGTTTAATACTAAGAAGACTTTTCTGCTCATACCACCTTAACAGTCACTAATTCCACCTTAAACAGATTAAACAGGTAACAATAACCCATCCATACCACCTTAACAGACACATACATTTATGAAATACCACCTTAAAACCAAGGAGGTTGTAAACATCGCATACCAACTTACATTTTCACTATTTCTTTTTGTAATGCAGTTTAATTGAACGTGTCCTTTTATGATGCGTTCAGGGTCCACAGTTTAACCCTGGAAACATTTAATCTTAACGACTATTAGGTTATTAAAAAAAACGGTCTGTTTTGTTTTTGTCTCTGCAGAAAGCTGGCGAAGAAGAGGAAAGAAACTCTGAGCTCCAGACAGGAAATGACCCTGATGGTCAACAGCTCCCAATGCACAACTATGGTGGACACACACACACACACTCTGAACGGACGCAGTGAGTACACACACACACACACACACACACACACACACACACACACACACACACACACACACACACTCTGAACAGATGCAGTGAGTACACACACACACACACACACACACACACACACACACACACACACACACACAGGTCATGGTGTTTCATTTACAGAGATAACACATAGGGTGAGATCGAGAGAGTAGAGACAGGAAAGCTTCAAATAAAAGACAGAAAAACAAAGTTGATAAAAGGACAAAATAGGAGAAATAACAAATGTGAGATACAGCGATAATAAAGTAAAATAAATAAGACAATTAAAGCAGGAACTAACTTAACATAAAGACAATTAAATGGGCCTTATTCCGCTTATTTTCAGGTTGAATTCCACATTCGAAAACAAAAAAACTCAAAAAATCCTGAGAAATGTTGCAAGATTTTGCCATAAATTGAAAATCTGAATATATAAAAAGACAATGTTAATATTCACAGAGAGAAGTCTGCATTTTTGGGATATATTTAGAGAAATAGTCTTCCTCTTCCTCCTCTTCCTCCTCTTCCTCCTCCTGCTGTCCGTCACTCAGACCTCTCAGAGAATAATCTCACACACAGTGACTGCCGGTGATATGACCAATTTTTTATCATGGAGTGACGGATGCTGTCACCGGGGGGGGGGGGGGGTGAGGAGGAGGGGGCAGTCGACCTTCCCTCAGGCTGACCCCCCCTTTAAGACGCTCTGATTTATCCTGCATCAATATGCTCTTTATTCCATCTCTCTGCTCACAGGAATCAAAAGCATGAATTCCATTTGTCACAACTGGGATTTCTGACTTTCAGAGAGTCCTTGAACGCATCACGCATCGTGTGGGAAATAAATACATTTAAAATGTTTTTTACCAATTTTTCAGGAAATATTAAATATTCTTCTGCTATTTTTTACACATTTGTCATCTCTTTGTCCAGCTGTGTCCTCTCCGTCCTCCTTCACCCTGAAGACAAACACCATCAGCACCACCGTGCCCAACTCATACTACCCAGGTAACACACACACACACACACACACACACACACACACACACACACACACACACACCACACACACACACACACACATACACACATACATACATACACACACACACACACACACAACACACACACACACACACACACCAAACTGTCTGTAGGGAGCAGAAAAGCTGACTTTCCTTCTTCCTTTCTTTTTCCTTTTGTCCTGTCTCTCTCTCTTCACCTGTCTGTCTCTCTCTCTACCTCTCTCTCTCGTTACCTGTCTCTCTACCTGTCTCTCTCTCTCTTCACCTGTCTGTCTCTCTCTCTCGTTACCTGTCTCTCTACCTGTCTCTCTCTCTCTTCACCTGTCTCTCTACCTGTCTCTCTCTCTCTTCGTCTGTCTGTCTCTCTCTCGTTACCTGTCTCTCTACCTGTCTCTCTCTCTCTTTACCTGTCTCTCTACCTGTCTGTCTGTCTCTCTATCTGTCTGTCTCTCTCTCTCTTCACCTGTCTCTCTACCTGTCTCTCTCTCTCTTTACCTGTCTCTCTACCTGTCTGTCTGTCTCTCTATCTGTCTGTCTCTCTTTCTCTTCACCTGTCTGTCTCTCTCTCTCTTCACCTGTCTGTCTCTCTCTCTCTTCACCTGTCTGTCTCTCTCTCTCTTCACCTGTCTGTCTCTCTCTCTCTTCACCTGTCTGTCTCTCTCTCTCTTCACCTGTCTGTCTCTCTCTCTCTTCACCTGTCTGTCTCTCCGCTGCTTCGTCCTGACGGCAGATCCCTTCGTGCCGACGGCCATCCTGGGTGAGACACTTTTTCCTTTTCCTTTTCTCTTAACAGCCTGCTCAGGTAGACAGACAGGAAGTAGACAGACAGACAGGAAGTAGACAGACAGGTGAGGAGAGACAGACAGGTGAGAGGATGGAGAGAATGAGAAAGAGAGAGAGAGTGATATTTGGCTTCCATCCATCCCTGCTTGCTTTTATTTTATTTATTATTATTATATATTTTCCCCTTTTTAATTTATTAATGATTCGTTTTTTTTATTTAAAATTTGATATTAAATTAGTTTATCTATTTTCTTTATTATTAATTTTATTATGATTATTAAACTAATTTGTCCTTTTTTATGTTTTATTTTCTCTTTGGTTATTAACCTGTTTATTTCGGGGCTTGTTTGTTGTTTGATTTTGAAAAAACGACGGTGGGCTTCACTCCATCCCCGCTTCACAACATTCCTGCGTGTCGTGTTGACGTCACGTCTGTGTGTGACCTCCGACCTCTGACCTCTGCATGGACACAACACTGGACTGTGGGGGAGGACTAAACATTACAAAACAAATAAAAACCATCAATAGAAAATCAAGATAGCATGCTAAGCTAACTAGCCTCCGTGGTCCATTCAGTATATCTGTGACCGGCTGCATTTAGCATATTAAGTAGCTAGTTAGTAGGTCAGGTGTCCCTTAATAATGTACCTTGGAAATACTTTAAAAGAGTCTACCAATCCTCTTCTTAGTATATTTAATAAAATACCCGATTTAAAACCACAACAAAGCACGCTAAGGCCAATCTTTCTATATATATATCGTTTTTTGTCCGTTAAACAGCAGGATTTGTTGCGTTTTTTCTCGCTACGCACTTCGTTTCGTGTTAAAAAACTAAAATATGCAATCGTCTTTAACTTCCTAACAAACCAATACATCTCTGTCTCCATTTATAATCAGCATACAGACATGTTATACAAATATTGATGACCCATTGTTCCCAAAAACACCAATAATACTAAGAATGTACCGCTTGTCCGACTGCCCATTTGTGCGACTACATTATTAGAAATGTCACAAAGGGGTTTTACAACCTTTCGACCAGACTTTTCACAATTTCTTTGGAAATATTTAGTCGTAAACATCCTCATGATAACCTCTAGTGTCTCTATAACGTTATTTTTTAAAGTTTCCACATGATTGAGGAACATTATCAACGGGTTTCCGGAACATTTTTCAGTCTTTCAATATGTTTATTTTTGAGGAAAATGGGCAGTCGGAAAAATGGGTAATTGGAAAAATGGGCAGTCAGACGAATGGGCAGTCGGATTATTTTGGAGGATGCAGTCGTATTCGCAGTCTCCTTCCAATTTAGGCTAAACTCGGAAGCTAACGTTACCCTAAATGTGCAGCTAGGCTAGTTTAACGTACAAGTCGAAGGCGGGGAAAATCAAACTGTCGCAAAACTTCCTGTTTCTCCTCTCTCCTCAGGCGAGCTAAGGGATGCTAGCCGAGGCTACGAGTCCTACAGGCTAGGGTACAGTTAGCCAGGTTAGCTTAGCCACCAGCTGTTCAAATAGAGCAGTGCTAGGAGCTACTTCCTGTTTGATTCATGCTAGCTGTGTGTAGCCCAGGCTAAAGCTAAAGTTGTTGCTTAAACCCTGTCTCCTCTCTCTTCTTCTTCTATCTTTCTCTGTGTAAAGTGCCCATTAATGGTAAGTTGCTAAATTTGGGGCTAAGGGGGGGCTCATGTTGGGGGGGTCACCACTGCGCATGAATCCCCGCTGTGATGTCATCAGTTAGCCTCATTCACACCCAATCACCTCCCACCATTTCACCTCCGACCAATCAGGTGTCAGCCCCGCCCACCTCCCTCTCTTTCTGATTGTTTTTTTTCGTTGTTGTGGTCGTTCTCCGCCGTCCAATCACAATCCGCTGCCTCCACCTCCATCTCCATCACATCTCCTCCATGATTGGTTGGGCTGTTTGGGATAGAGAGCTTCTGATTGGTCAGTCAGCCCCAGGCTAGCCAATAAGAGCAGAGAGAGACAGAGTAGAGGAAGTGATGTTAAAAATGTTGGTCAGAGTCCTGGTCGTGTTTCGGTCGGTTTTCAGAGGTTTGTTTTGTTCCCGGACTCTGAACTCTGCTCTTTCCACACTGCAGCAACAAGACCCTGGACCACAACAAGACCAGTACCTGGCTGTATGGGTCCAGTACAGATCCACGGACCAGTACTAACACTAGAACTGCAATTATAGAAAAACAATCGCCATATATCTCAATAACCGTTAAAGCCATTTTCCGTCTGTTATCTGGAGATTTTCTGTTTCTCACTCGTTCAGATTAAAGTGAATATATTTGGACTTTTAAATTCCGTCGACTTTGAGACAAAAGCTCCTTTTTGTTTTATTGATTTCTGTTCTTTAGTTTCTGCAGCAGTGTGAAAAGAAAGCAGAGCCAATCACCATCCTCCCTCCCGTCATGTGATTGGACGTCACGTGTCACATGTCTGTGTTGTGGGCCAAATCATCTTTATACTATAATTTAAATTACAAATTCTTGTTGATTTCTACTTATTGTTATTTTTTATTTATCATTATTATTTCTATATATTTCCCTTTTTAAAGAATGGACTTTGTTTTAATTTTTAAAATAAAATATGAAATTATTGTTTTCTATTTTAAATTTTATTTTGATTATTATTGTTATTTATATATATTTTCCCCATTTTAGTTATTACTTTCTCTCTTTCTCTCTTATTGGTTATTAACCTGTTTATTTTATTTCTTTCGGGGCTTGTTGTCCAACCTGAGAGTGAGTCTGCCATCCGCCACTTCTCATCCGTGCATACTGTTACTGTGTTATGGACCAAATCATGTTTATAATATAATGTTTATCACAAGAATAAAATAGTTTATCTTGATTTTTATTTATTTATCATTATTATTATTGTTTAATATTTTCCATGCCATCCGTCACGCGTCATCCCTGCATATATTTTCTCTGTCCCTGTTACCTGTGCACAGTGTTATGACCTCCCTCTTCTTATCTAACTTACCTGGCCCTTAGCGTGGCTCTTACATTTCCACATGACTTGGGACTCGTAGGATCTCACTAAGATCTTGTCTTGGGACTTGACTTAAATCTTAACCTACGATTTGATGGTTTTAGATTGGCACTTAACCTGGGACTAGTTATACCTGATTCTGGTCTTATTGGTCAAAACCTACCCCTTAGCGTGGCTCTTACATTTCCACATGACTTGGGACTCGTAGCGTCTTGAATTGGGACTTGTTAATCCTGATTTTTGACCTTAACGTGGCTCTTAAATGTGCACATGACTTGGGACTTGTAGGTCCTCAAACAGTCTTGACTCAAATCCTAACCAAGGACTTGTTAGTCTTGGTTTTGCACTTTGATCCTTACCTGGGACTTGACTTTGGTCTTGACTTAAATCTTAACCTACGATTTGATGGTCTTAGATTAGCACTTAAAGGTGGGGTAAGTTTCAGAAACCGGCTCGAGATACACTTTTTGTTATATTCCATGGAATGCTCTGAACATCCGATAGCAATGAACATCTGAAGAGCTTTGACAACAAATCCATAAAAAAATGTCATCTGTGGAAGCCGTGGCGCTGTAGAAAGTACAACCGGCTAAACGGATTGGATTGCCTTCCATCTCGTGCACGCACAAATGTATCTCGTGCCCTCATTGGGCGTGCCGTCATTGGGCGTGCCGTCATTGGGCGTGCCCTCAATGGGCGTGCCGTCATTGGGCGTGCCCTCATTGGGCGTGCCCTCAATGGGCGTGCCGTCATTGGGCGTGCCCTCATTGGGCGTGCCCTCAATGGGCGTGCCGTCATTGGGCGTGCCCTCATTGGGCGTGCCCTCATTGGGCGTGCCGTCATTGGGCGTGCCCTCATTGGGCGTGCCCTCAATGGGCGTGCCGTCATTGGGCGTGCCCTCATTGGGCGTGCCGTCATTGGGCGTGCCCTCATTGGGCGTGCCGTCATTGGGCGTGCCCTCATTGGGCGTGCCGTCATTGGGCGTGCCCTCATTGGGCGTGCCGTCATTGGGCGTGCCGTCATTGGGCGTGCATTGCAGCAGTACTTCAATGACTCGCCAGCAGCAGGCGGCCACTTTCCCCAGTCTGCTGATGTCATGTTCATGTGTGTTGGAGGAGGTGCTCTGTGAGGAAGTCTGAAGGAAGGGGCGGATTCTTTTCGGCTGTGTACTTTCAAATGTTAGTGCACTCGAGCCGGTTTCTGAAACTTACCTACCCCACCTTTAACCGAGGACTTGTTAGTCTTGATTTTGCACTTTGATCCTTACCTGGGACTTGACTAGAGACTTGACCTGGGACTAGTTATACCTGATTCTGGTCTTATTGGTCAAAACCTGCCCCTTAGCGTGGGTCTTAAATGTATACATGACTGTAGGATCTCACTAAGATCCTGTCTTGGGACTTGACTTTGGTCCTTGTTATGTTCTCTTGTCTGCAGACGACAGCCACACGATGACCAGTGAGACCAGCAGCCTGGTTCAGTCGCACTATAAGCAGCGAGAGTCAGAGAGAGAGGCGTTGCCCTATCAGACGGGACAGCTGCACCCCGCCATCAGGGTGGCTGACCTCCTGCAGCACATCACTCAGATGAAGTGTGCCGAGGGGTACGGCTTTAAAGAGGAGTACGAGGTGAGCACACACACACACACGCACACACACACACACACACACACATGCACACACACACACACACACACACACACACACACACACACACGAAATATCTGCCGAAAAGTCTATACAAAATAATAATACAATTCAACCACAACCAGCGACATCAGATATATTAAGATTAGCCAATGAGAGCGCAGGATACAACTTTGTCAACGAACAATAATTATTATAAATACACACAAAACACAATTTTTTTGTTTTGTAAATGTCAGAAAACAGAAACTGGTGCATCACTTGTGAATTATCAGTTAATCAATGAATCGTTACAGCATGAAGCAGCAGGAGAAGACACACACTGATAATGTTCAATAACAGCAGCAGCAGCGTGTGTGTGTGTGTGTGTGCTCCACATGTTTAACCATTTTCATCAGTAGAAACTTACTAATGGATGTTACTTACCTACACACACACAGACACACACACACACTCACGGACATACATTATAGATCTTCCCTCCAGCTAATGGGCCAAAACAGGGAATGCTGTGTGTGTGTGTGTGTGTGTGTGTGTGTGTGTGTGTGTGTGTGTGTGTGTGTGTGTGTGTGTGTGTGTGTGTGTGTGTGTGTGTGTGTGTGTGTGTGTGTGTGTGTGTGTGTGCTCAGGTCTGCTTGTGGGCTGCCCTCAGGGCTAATCCATTATATATACTGAGTATACACACACACACACACACACACACACACACACACACAGTATTTTCTCCCTCCATTTGCAGAAAGTTAGCGGTGAGGAGTTCTTCTGTCTGTCTGTCTGTATATATATATATATATATATACAGACATATATATATATATACAGACATATATGTATCGTAAATACAATTGGTCCTACGATAGACCGTACGGTACAACTAAACAATTAGGAACACTTATTATCACTGTCTCTTTGAACAACATTTATATTAAATTAGAGAGTTTTTTTTAACGTAAACCTCTAGCTTTCATTAGCATGAATGGAGTGGACGTTCATTAGCATTAGCATTAGCATGAATGGAGTGGACGTTCATTAGCATTAGCATTAGCATGAATGGAGTGGACGTTCATTAGCATTAGCATGAATGGAATGGACGTTCATTAGCATTAGCATGAATGGAGTGGACGTTCATTAGCATTAGCATTAGCTTGAATGGAGTGGACGTTCATTAGCATTAGCATTAGCTTGAATGGAGTGGACGTTCATTATCATTAGGATGAATGGAGTGGACGTTCATTAGCATTAGCATTAGCTTGAATGGAGTGGACGTTCATTAGCATTAGCATTAGCTTGAATGGAGTGGACGTTCATTATCATTAGCATGAATGGAGTGGACGTTCATTAGCATTAGCATTAGCTTGAATGGAGTGGACGTTCATTAGCATTAGCATTAGCTTGAATGGAGTGGACGTTCATTATCATTAGCATGAATGGAGTGGACCTGCATTAGCATTAGCATGAATGGAGTGGACGTTCATTAGCATTAGCATTAGCTTGAATGGAGTGGACGACGTTCATTAGCATTAGCATGAATGGAGTGGACGTTCATTAGCATTAGCATTAGCATGAATGGAGTGGACGTTCATTAGCATTAGCATTAGCTTGAATGGAGTGGACGTTCATTAGCATTAGCATTAGCTTGAATGGAGTGGACGTTCATTAGCATTAGCATGAATGGAGTGGACGTGCATTAGCATTAGCATGAATGGAGTGGACGTGCATTAGCATGAATGGAGTGGACGTAAACAACAGCCTCTTTAACCACATGGCATTGTTTATTGCCACAAAACACATATATAACTTGGATGCTAATTGGTCTTGTTCCGTAGATCTTGATTGGTAAATCACATTATCATCAAATGCTAACGTGTAGACGTA